ATTTGTTCTGCACATTTAATATGCTTCATTTTATTTTTCATGGAATCTGATGTGGTCAAAATTTCAATAGGTTCCTTTGACGAGGGCCAAAGATTGCTATTTATCAGAGGCGATAGTCGGTTTGTTTCAATTTATCGAGTTTATTTATTGCTCTCTGAAACAAAATGGTAAGCTGTCCCTAATACATGTTCATATTTTTAAATATATTTGTGTAACCTTCTTACTTGTCAGTTTAAACGTGGAGGTCTCATGCGTGGTGCGGGTTCACAAAGAAGATCAGCTCCTGCCGCTGCCTCGTCGTCGTCCCCGTCCCTGTCCTCTTCCCCTGCCCTTTCATGTAACCCTCAACCACAACATTTTCATGGACAACACGGACACATTGGCCCATCCTCCGACCCTCAACAACATATTAGAGGAGAACCTCGGGACATGCGAACTGAATTTACTTCAATTCCATCTCCGATTCCATCTCCTTCGGTTCCACTTTCTTCTTCAGTGCAACACTCGAATGATGAAGAAGATACCCGATTCATTATATGCTCATGTGGAGATTCGTAAGTACTTCATTTTTTTACGTATATATAAATTATCGATGTAAACAAAATTGTCCATGTTGCGAATTATCCGTATGCTTCATTGTCTCATTGTCCATATTGCTATAACATGTTTTCAGATTCACGGATTCTACGTATGTTGTGAGGGAACTTAATAAAATAGTCAATAACTGTTGGATGGGCCAGTTTACTACTTTCAGCAGCGCTCCCGCAGAAGTAAAGACTTTGTGGTGGAATGAGTTCAAGGTTAGTGTTGTCTTTCTATTTTCTCACAAACTAAGTTCGATGTAGCATACTGATGGTCAATAATGAATTTTGTCATGAATTGTCTGGTACATTGTAATGGATATGTGACATGTGACCCTAGTGGATAACTCTCAGTTGCTTTTCTATTGATTGTAGGATAAGTTCACGTGGGATGAAATGGAAGAGGATGATGTTAGAAGAATTTTCAAGAAGAAAATCGGTGATCACATGCGATATGTGATAAATAGAGCGAAGAGAACAAAAGAAAAGCCGGCCTTTTTTACAGCTGACAATTGGACGGAAATTACGAGAACTTGGGAAACTGAGAAGCATAAGCAAAGGTGTGAACAGAGCAAGAAGAATCGAGCTTCTAGTTCTAGTGACGGGTCTGCGTCTGCCACATATGCCGGGGGCTCTATCAGCATCGGGGAACATAAAAGAAGAATGGTAAGTCTGTTTATACATGTCAGTTCATTTAATTCAATGATTACTCATTTATGTTTATATTTTGTAGGCAGATGATTTGGGGACGGAACCCACATTTACAGCTACATTTGAATGCACATTTCAAAAAAAGGATAAGACATGGACTGGCGCTCGAGCAAAAGCTATTAAGGTATGTAAGGTTATAGTTCGGACTTTATGGAAACTAGAATGAAAATCATGAATGTTTTTAATATTTATGGTAATATATATGAATTTATTTTATTTCCATCTATAATGTTAATATAGGAAAAATATGATGAACTTTTAATGAGCACTGCTAGTGGTGATGGTGGTGATGGTGGTGGTGATGATGGTGGTGGTGGTGGTGATGGTGTTGCCGTGTCTGAGCCATCGGTTGACAGTATGGCATTATGGGTGGAGGGCGGGTGGGATGAAAAGAGGAAAAATATTTGGGATGGGATCCTTGTCAAGGATGTACAAAACGAAGGCTGCTGCAACTTCATCCTCCAATGCGGCTGTTTCAAGGAGGACACGACATGAGGAGCATATGACCCAAGAATTGAGCCAACTGAAACAGTTGCTTGTACAGAAGGACGAAGAAATGAAGCATTTACTTGGACAGAAGGACGAACAAATAAGGGTGATGCAACAACAAATGCAAATTATCATGCGACATCTCGACATCGATCGCAATGAGGTTCCTCCTCTACCTCATATTAATCCAATAGATGATGGGCATAATGCTGAGCCACACAATGATGCGGCGATTGGTGATGATGATGATGATGATGCTGATGATTTTATTGTCAGTCCTTCCTAGTTCATTCTCGAGTACCAAAGCTGCCAACGTTTTATGGTTGTCCCGCGTTCTTTCAATGTTTTGAATGTATCACCTGATGTTCATTAGTGCTTAGCTGCCTCTTTGTATTATGAGATTGAATATCGAATATCATCATGTGAGACTTTGCAACTTATGCATTGTAGAAATTAATATTGCTAATAATTAGATTTAAAATCGAAATTGTCCCTAAACAAAATTCGTCGCAAACTTAGCGACGAATTTTGTCACGAATAGATTTCGTTGCAAATTACCAACGAAAATTGAAATTTTTTGTCGAAAAAATTCGCGATTTCCCACGATTTTTGCAACAAATAATTAGCGACAAATTTTGCAACGAACTTTCTCACGAATTTCGTTTTCGTCGGAAATTACCAACGAAAATTGAAATTTTTTGTCGGAAAAATTTGCGATTTCCCACGATTTTTGCAACGAATAATTAGCGACAAATTTTGCAACAAAATTTCCCACGAATTTAGCCACGAATTTAGTTTTCGTCGGAAATTACCAACGAAAATTGAAATTTTTTGTCGGAAAAATTCGCGATTTCCCACGAATTTTGTTTTCGTCAGAAATTACCAACGAAAATTGAAATTTTTTGTCGGAAAAATTCGCGATTTCCCACGAATTTTGTTTTCGTCAGAAATTACCAACGAAAATTGAAATTTTTTGTCGGAAAATTTGCGATTCCCCACGAATTTTGTTTTCGTCGGAAATTACCGATGAAAATTGAAATTTTTTGTTGGAAAAATTCGCGATTTCCCACGATTTTTGCAACGAATAATTAGCGACAAATTTTGCAACGAATTTAGCCACGAATTTAGTTTTCGTCGGAAATTACCAACGAAAATTTTAATTTTTTGTCGGAAAAATTCGCGATTTCCCACGAATTTTGTTTTCGTCGGAAATTACCAACGAAAATTGTAATTTTTTGTCGGAAAAATTCGCGATTTCCCACGATTTTTTCAACGAATAATTAGCGACAAATTTTGCAACGAATTTAGCCACAAATTTAGTTTTCGTCGGAAATTACCAACAAAAATTTTAATTTTTTGTCGGAAAAATTCACAATTTCCCACTAATTTTGTTTTCATTGGAAATTACCAACGAAAATTGTAATTTTTTGTCGGAAAAATTCGCGATTTCCCACGATTTTTTCAACGAATAATTAGCAACGAATTTATATACGATTTTTCCAACGAATTATTAGCGACGAATTTTGCCACGAAATTTTGCAACGAACTTTCCACGAATTTAGCCACAAATTTATTTTCGTCGCAAATTACCAACGAAAATTCAAATTTTTTTGTTCGTTGCTAATTTTGTTGGAAATTCATTTGCCACGAATAATTAGCGACAAATGTTTCCACGATGTTTCCAACAAATAATTACCAACGAATTTTCCAACAAATTTAGCCACGAATTTATCTACGAATTTTGCAACGAATTTTTTTGCGTCGAAAATTTACTAACGAAAATTAAAATTTTTTGTCTCAAAAATTTCCGACGCCGAATTAGCGACGAATTTTGTTTCGTCGGAAATTCGTTTTGCCACGAATAATTACCAACGAATTTTGCCACGATTTTTGCAACGAATAATTAGCGACGAACTTTCCAACGAATTTTCCAACGAATTTTGCCACGAATTTTGCCACGAAAAAATTTCGTCGCAAATTACCAACGAAAATTTAAAGTTTTTGTCGGAAAAATTTGCGACGACGAATCACCAACGAATTTTTGTTCGTCGCTAATTTCGTTGGAAATTCGTTTTCCAACGAATTTTGCCAAATTTTTCGTTGGAAAATTCATTGGAAAACCCTTATTTTTTTTTGTAGTGAAAGCTTCCAGACTCGGTTGGACAATTGAAGTCACTAGTTAATTTATTCCTGTTTAGCCTAAACAAGAACTGCAGCATTAACAGATTCCATTCAAAATCTTAAAATGTTGCAGGTGATATGTTTGAACGCGACTAAGTAAGAGAGCCACCAAAAGCCATAGGTATTGTGGAGAATCTTGAAGAATTGCCCAATGTACTTACATGGAAACGTCACCGTCTTGTCATCTTAAGGTTTTCGAGTGGCCTAGGTTACATGAATTTGATGGCCCTTTCTGGCTTTACAATAAGCGAGAAAGGTCTAGGAAGAATGTTATTTTCGTTTGCTTGTGAGAGAATTTAATAGATCATTTCATGTTCAAAGTAGCTCCAATAGGTGGTATATTGATTGAATGCCCAAAGCTAATTCAGATTCTAGGCTTGTTGGAATCATAGAATACATTGAATGTATTGCCAGTTGAATTCAACAATTCCATATAAACTTTACCCGGTCTACCAAAGAAACCAATGCTAGGATTGCTCCAATTGGTATGATTGAAAGGGTACAAGCAAGGGCAACGTGAATGTATTCGTTGTGTTTGTCAGTAAAATGTCAACAAAGGAAGCATTTCCAATGGTCTTGATATCCCTTCACATCTTTGCAGCAAATTGAAATCGGCAATTTGCCAATTTGTTTTTAGCCTTTTAAATTAGTCACTTAAGACAAAGGCCTTTGGATGTTTCAAAAAAGAGATATTAGAAGATCAGGACTCAAGTTCAACGTAGAAAACAATATAAAGTAAGTTATAAGAGATGATTACGAAAAATGCGGAGCATATAGTACTCGTAAAAGACTATAGAATTTTTTTTTTGGTAAGGTAAATAAAAGACTATAGAATTGATCACAATATCGTACAAGGTTTCATGTCCGTGACCTCGCAGATTGTCTGAGTAATATTAGGCCTAAGGTTTGTTCAATTCGATGAAGGAAAGAAGATGATTACCATATTGAAAGCCATAAAGGTCATGCAGCACTAACACCGAGGTACGATATACACTACGCTGGAATGGCTGTGAATGTTGAACCACTACTTCTAGATGAGGTGCTATCGCACAAGAAGGAACAGTGTAAAGCAACCTCATCTATTGCCAGCATAACGTGATAAAGTTGGACCCCGCCACTTTGGAACACTTCCATTGACTAGACTTTTCAAAGTCATCGCCATTCTTTTTCCTTTCGGTGCCGAGAAAAGAGCAAACAAATCCGAGAAAGACCGGCGAAAGAGCATTGCAATTCTTCTGCCTCTGGCGCTTTGCTGATTCCTCTTGAGGAATCCCAGATCAGATTCAGAAAGGACTCCACATCCCGCTGCGATCAAACCCGGTGAAGATTTTAAGCTCCTGAAGGAGAATAAAGAGAAAGAGGGACTCACCAGACGCAGCGACGATGTCCGCTTGTGCCAACAACGGCAATTCGTCATCGGGGGCCGAATTTGAGGTGTTCTTGAGTTTTAGAGGCCCCGACACCCGCCTCAACTTCACCGATTGTCTCTATCACTCCTTGGTTGGAGCTGGGATTCGCGTTTTCAGAGACGACGAAGAGATCCGAAAGGGTGAAAAGATTGGAGGCGAACTTCTGCATGCCATTGAATCCTCCCAAATATACGTGCCCATCTTCTCTAGGAACTACGCATCCAGTGCGTGGTGTCTTCGCGAGCTCACGCACATGGTGGAGTGCTCGAGCAAAGGGAATGACAAAGTGATTCTACCCATTTTCTATGACGTAAGTCCTGACGACGTGAAGCTCAAAAGTCGATTGTACCTCGACGCTCTGGAGAAGCATGAGGAGAAGTTCGGACACGATGATGTTCGGCAATGGAAGGAGGCTCTGACAGAGGTCGCAAGAATCAAGGGATGGAGCTTGAAGGACAAAGGGTAAGAGTGTGGATTCGGAATCTGCTTTCTTTCTTTTTTTTCGAGCAATTAAAAGTGGGATGATTATAAGGAATAAAGTCTCTCATTTATTCTATTTTCCCGAACCAGTCATCCAAATTTAGTATTGATCTAATTCTTTCATTAGTCGAGATTTCCATTTACTTAAGAAAGTGAGCTTTCATTTGGTAAAACCTCGCCCATTCAAAAATCCAACTAGTTTTGTGTCTACAATATCACTCAACTCGAGAGTTTATTTGCCATATGTTTCACGCTGAGACTCTTGTGTCAATATGGCAGCCATGGTGAAATCATCAACACTATTGTTGATGAGATTTTGGCCAAGCTGATGAACAGAAGGAGAAATTTGCCTGATAATTTAGTCGGGATCCATGATCGTGTGGAAGCTATCATGAACATGTTAAACAAAGGTTCTCGTGATGTTCGCTACCTGGTCATCCATGGAATGGGCGGTATCGGTAAGACAACTCTCGCAAGTGCTGTCTTTAATCAAATCTCCAAACAATTTCAAGGTTGTAGCTTCCTTTCGGACATTCGCGAATCTGCGCTACATGGTAGAATTGTTGACTTACAAAAACAGTTGTTATCAGAAATTCTCCAAGGCAGATCTCTAGAGATCCACAATTCTATTGATGTAGGGATTAAAATAATAAGAGAAAGGTTTCGTGATAAGAAAGTTCTTCTTGTTCTTGATGACGTTGATAAGTGGGACCAACTCTCTAAACTAGCAGGAAAGAGCGATTGGTTTGGTCCAGGAAGCAAAATCATCATTACAACTAGGGACATCAACTTTTTGCCAATCGAAGAGGAGGATGAAGAGAGTAGTTTCCAAACACATTCTAAAGAGTTTGAAATCTATGAAATGACAGAAATGGATTCTTCCCATGCTCTTCGGCTTTTTAGTAAACATGCCTTCAAGATGGATTTCCCACCACATGACTTTGATGATATCTCACGCAAAATTACTAGCAAAACAGGTGGACTTCCATTAGCTCTCGAGGTTATCGGTTCCTCACTTTGCGGCAAAAGCAAAAAGTTTTGGAAAGACACTTTAAAGAAGTTAGATTTTGTGCCCAAGCAGGAAGTCTTCAATAAACTAAAAATCAGTTATGACATGTTAGAGCATCATCAGAGACAGATCTTTCTTGATATCGCATGTTTCTTGATTGGAAGAGAAAGACTCCACCCGTACTATATGTGGAAAGCTTCCAACTATTTTCCAAAAAGTGAACTACTTGTCCTTACTCGTATGTCTTTAATAAAGATAGGAGAAAATGATAAACTATGGATGCATGATCAACTTAGAGATCTTGGAAGAGAAATTGTTCAGCGCGAAGACGTCAATTTTCCAGGGAAGCGTAGCAGGTTGTGGGATCCCAAGATTACCGTTGACGTGGTTCGGATGAAAGAGGTAAGCTATTGTCACCTTGCTATTTTCTTTACGAAAAAATCGACTAGGCATTAATCAAGGGTTGTGGAGTTAGTTTCTTGCATGTATATATTTTTTTTGTTTAATTTTTCTTTTGGTAAAGAAAAAGAGAAGTAGGTTTGTATAAGACTCCATGATGGTAATTCCATTACATATCATATCTAAATGGTTTCGACGTGAAAGTTATTAGTAGCAAACAATTCAGGAATACATTTAAATACAGAGGTTGCTCAACAAATTATATGAAAACATATCCAGAGTGAGACTTCCTAGGCTAATAAAGCTTTTCGAGACTGATTTTATTCCTTTTTGCTAAGTTGGAAATCATTAGCAACGTTACTCTGCAATGAGACCCCTTACCTAAAGTTTGATAATATATTTAGTAATTGATTGTAGTATGCAATCTTTTGTGTATAGTCCGGTAGAGCTTTCAAACAATATACGAGAGACTTTTATGAGGTTGGTTGAATATCTTTACTATTACGAAAGCAAATCCTTTTTGTAAGTTGCAAAACCATTGCAGGTTTTTTGTGTTGCAAAAAAATTAAATATGTAGGCAGTATTTTCTATCAAACGTTTTTGCTCAGCGATAATAAAAAAAATTGTTGTCATTTTGCAGTAGATTTTCGCTTAAACTAATAGATTAGAAATATTATTTTGCTTTATACAACATAAGCCATTCAATTGAATTGTATGAACCTCTTTCTTATTCTCTCCTCAATTTAGATTTCTACAAAGCGATAATGTGTGTTTTATTACCGTACATAATCAAGCTCCTTAGACTTGTATGACACCATGTTTGTCATCCAATTCAAATGTTCACGTATGCTTTTTCTATCACCAGGGGACAGACAAAGTCGTAGCACTCAGATTAACAAGACTCTACAAAGAGCACAGTTTCACAAGTGAAGAATTTTCAAAGTTGCCCAATCTAAGATATTTGGAATTAGAGGGCGGGAACTTGGTAGGGGACTTTAAGAATCTTCTCTCCAAGTTAACATGGCTCTCTTGGAGTGACTGCCCTTTGGAACTAAACGCGACGAATTTATGTCTCGAGAAATTAGTCGTGCTCAAGCTTTCGGGAATTAACATTACTGAAGATTGGACCGGATGGGGGCCATGCTTGGTACAACATCATGCCGTGCAGTTCAGTTTTTTTGGCATTTGTCTTGCCAACCAAACTTACCAATTTGCCATTATTGACTTGGCTAATTCTTGGTTTGTTTTTTCAGGTGAGCGAGAACTTGAAAGTTATAGAAATCAGTTACTGCCCAAATTTAAAAAGGACTCCCGACTTCTCAAAATGCTTGAATTTGAAGAATTTGGATATTGGATTGTGTTCAGACTTATCGGCGGTTCATCATTCCATTGGAGCGATGACGGGTCTGAAGTATTTATCTTTAGATACTTGTTCTTTGCTTAGCACACTTCCAGACTCCATCGGAGATCTCAAAATGTTGAGGACGATGAGTCTTTCTAAAACTCCGATAGAGAAGCTACCGAACCCGATAGGAGGATTAGAGTCTTTGCTTGAGCTACATTTGATCGACACAAAAATCAGAAAATTACCTGCTTCTATTGAGAATCTTAAAAATTTGAGGAAGATGAGTCTTTATCGAACTCCGATAAAGAAGCTACCGAACACAATAGGAGGATTAGAGTCTTTGCTTGAGCTAAATTTGAGCCAAACAAATATTAGAAAATTACCTACTTCTATTGGGAATCTTAAAAAGTTGAGGAAGATGAGTATTTGTCATACTCCTATAAGGAAGCTACCGAAAATAGAAGGGCTAGAGTCTTTGCGTGAGCTAGATTTGAGCTACACACGTATCAGAAAAGTTCCAGCTTGTATTGGAAATCTCAAACGGTTGGAGATTTTATATATAGACCTTAGGGCGACTAGAAAGCTACCAAAGGCCACAGGGACGGCAAACAATCTTAAAGCTTTAGATCTTACATTCTGGGAAGATCTGGACGGGGATGGTCCAAGGGAAATGTCAATTCTATTGGTGTCTAGAGAGCGAGAGCTGACAATGAGCAAGATTAGGAGTGTGTCCACACTTTTCTTCCCATCTCCAACAACTTCGTCCGGATCAATGTGATAGAACTTGAACATTTGCCATATCTCCCTGTGAGTTTGAAGGATTTAAAATTCTCATCTTATTTATTGTGGACAACCCCTGACCTCTCATGCCTGATTAACTTAGTCGATCTTCATATACAGGATGGCACTCCTCTGTTGTCAGAATTCAAACAAGGAGCTCCAAAGATAGAGTGGATCGAGGGGTTATATTAACTAGAGAGATTGACACTTGTCAATAAAGATGTCACATTTCCTCCGATTATTTTGGCTACTCTTTCTCGGCTTCGGACTCTTGAGATAACTTGTGTCGACCGGCGATCTCCGGTGGGGCTCCCATCCAGTCTTGAAGCATTGACTCTACATGATGTGAAGTCATCCATGGGAAGGTCGCTCTTTTCCAACTTGACAAATCTGTCCAGTTTGTGCCTTCTTAACTGTCGGCTGAGGGAAGTCGAATTTGATGATGCGCTCGGACAGCAACTGGAGAAACTCCGTCGTTTGGAATTGAAGGATAGTGCAGCGCTTGAGAGGATCTAAATTTCGAGATTAGAGGGGCTCCAAGAGTTCAGCGTGACTGATTGCCCTGGGCTAATGGAGGCTCAAGATCTGGAGAAATCGAAACCATTCGAGGCAGTTCCTTAGAATGGTTGCCTGGTTTATCAAATAGAAAGAAGCGGCTGCAGAGATTGATATGGCCACATTGTCCACTGGACATGATGCCCGATCTACATATTCCAGACCCGAGTGAATTGCTCATTGGAGGACGCCGGATTTCATTTACATTTTTTGGCACATTCCAAGAATGAAAGGTTACTAACAGCAATAGAGTGGACGATATGAACATCCGACTCTAGAAAGAAAGAAAATTCTCATATCCCTTACAGTCGATAAAAGTTCCATCGGTTTTGCTTCTTCCTCTATATTTTCTTTTTCTGGCTGTTTCTTTCCTGAGCAATTTTCTACTTGTCCCTGTTAGAAATATCCAGTTTAAAGCATGCATGCATGCGTCATTGTTCACCTTAAGTCTTAAAATGATGATTCGTGGATTAAATACTTACGTTAAGGTGCATGGTTCACATACGGGATGATGACTGTAGAAGTACTAGTTGATGGAATAATGGTTGTTCACATTCTTTATAAAATGCTTAAGGGTACTTTGTCTTTGCCAAGACAAAATCGATTCGATTACTCAAAAGGGTAATGGTATTATCACAATAACAATAATTTCGTCCACAATCTAAGATATAGAAAATTTTCTTTCATGACAATAACTTAACTTCTTCCACGGCCATTTTACAACTCAATCGACAATGGACTTGTGTAATAGTTGTGGAAAAAGTTATTTATTAGGGATGTGGAAATGTCGTTTGTACGGGGGATTAATTTAGCTAGTCGCATATGTCGTGGATGGAGAGGAATGTTTTTAGAAAAGGCAGACAGAGTCATCGGATAATTATTTGTGGAAGCACGAGAGATGATTGTTGGAGTAAATGACAAGCTATAATTTCGTTTGGCAACATACTGAAAACTTATTAGAATGGATTGTTGAAATCTTTATCGATGAAAATTATTCAAGATTTGTTTCTGTCTTGGTCATATGAAGCAGTCGAAAGTTCGAGGTGGCGATGGATTGGTTTTATTGATTTTCATGTAATTTCGTCTGATGGTTATTACAATTATTGACTTCGCTATTCGTCTTACACGGGATAATTTTCATGTAATTTTGGGTCTCAATGCAACTACAGTTGTTTTATCGTGGTTTTTCAGCAAATTAGCCGTTGTGATTGAGGTTGGCGTTGGGGCTTGGTGCGTCATAGATCAATTCCCATTTGGTTGAATCTCGTATGACCATCTTGTAGCTATTATATGCTCCCATATTTGCCAAATGGTACTCATCAAAAATCAAGAAATTGTACTTATTATCACAAATCAAGAAATTGGACAATAGTTGTCCCAACGGGGTCTTCTCAAACTAGATAATTTGTAATTTGCAAAAGAGAATTTTCTCTAATTTTTTAAGTAAGCTTAGAGAAGCTCTGTCGCCGGACACAGTTAATTTTTGGTAACTCTATTAAGTTGTTGGAGTTTCCTTATATTGGGAGCCAGGACAATATATGCTTTCTTCTAACTTTTGGGTAACTAAATTAGCTCCGGCCGGAGTTGCCATCCATATGATGCCCCAACGGTGGAATTCGGATTCCATCGGCAATGGGGACGATACAATAACTCTAGCTAGATGCTTTGAAAATTGAGATTTCAGCTATAAATGACCTCATGCTAGAGGACCAAATATAGAACTTATCTCTTTGATTCGAGCATCCAAAGACCGAAAACAAGTCCCGGTTTCTAGTGATAATTGTACATGAGCAGCACATTTCTTTTTCAACTGATTGATAGTAATTAATCTTAGGGATAAACTGAGACTCGGTTATCTGCAGTGTTGGATCCATGTCTCGAGTGTAAACTCTTCTCAGTTATATATGGGTTCAGCTTGTAAATTATTAATTGAGAAGGATGGCGTAACCCGATAATGTATCAAAGTAATTCGTCACTCTATCTACTACATCGCACCAAATAATAACATAGTGACAACATGGGCATGAATCAGAGATTGGTGAGCGTATTGGCAATGTCGATGACGAATCGATACCGGACATCTCCTCTGGCAAGTCGATCCATGGCTTCGTTCACGTAGTCCATCGCGATAACCTCCACATTCGATGTTATGCCGTGTTCCGCTGCGAAATCCATCATCTCTTGCGTCTCCTTGATTCCCCCGCACATACTCCCCACCAAAGATTTCCTCCCTGCATTTCCGAATTTCCGATTATTTGGGAAAATTGGGTTAAAGCATTGGAAGCTTATTTGCATAAGATGGATCAAAGTAGTTTGTACAATTAACATAGAACAAAAGCGGAGACCAATTAGAGAAAAATGTTCCCTTGTGAAGTAGAAGCAACTATTGAAGAAGAGATTTGAATATTCCAAAGTTACCAAATAATGGAAAGAGTGGCACTTGAGCAGGTGTCTCCATATCAGGTGCGCTCAACATGATGAGCTTCCCATCTGTTCTCAGAAGATCCAACAATGGCTTCAGTGGATGTGTTGCTGAGACCGTGTCAATAATCCCATCCATCGTGCACATAGCAGCCTATAATTTTGAAAAATAAAATCCACAATAAAAGAAGAAAAAAGAAAAGGGTTAATACCGTAAAAAAAACCCCACACATGTGACAAATTTACCACAAACTAATTATTTTACTACCGAAAACCCTAAACTGATACCATCCATTAAATTGGATTAATACCACAAAAAATCACAAACCGGTATACCTGTGACAAACAGAGAATAAAACCCCAAATTAATACACCCATCAACTGCCACGTGCATCTAACTCAACAATTTGACCGTAAAATTTAACAGAAACTAACGGAGGGTAAATTTGTCACAAGTATACCAGTTTGGAGTTTTAGTTTGGGGTAAATTTATCACGTGTGTACTAGTTTAAGGTTTAAACCCAAAAGAAAAATATGAAGTAATTAGTGAAAATTCTCGTCTTCTTTAGGTTTAAATTAATCAAAGTTCATTTTATATGGGGAAAATTTCAATGCATCTATCTGTTTTGGTCAAATGGTATTTACACGGTCAACATATGATTAGCAATAATAATACATTGGTTCATTATATTCCTTTTCATTTTTCCATACCTGCATCTGCTTCAAGTCATGGCTCACTATGAACGAGTCAGCCTTCAATTTCTCAATCGCTTCCCGTCTCTTGCTCTCCGAAGTGCTTATCACGGTAACCTCGGCGCCGAACGCCTTGCCGAACTTCACGGCCAGATGCCCCAGCCCTCCGAGGCCCACGACGCCAATATGCTTCCCGGGCCGGTGCAAACCGAAATGCCTGATGGGGCTGTAGACCGTGATCCCGGCGCAAAGCAGCGGAGCGCAGCCGGCGAGCGAAATGGCATCGGGGATACAAACCGCAAAGTGCTCGTCCACAACGAGGATGTCGGAGTACCCGCCGTGGCGTTTGGCATCGCCTTCGGATTCGAAGATCGTGTACGTGTAGACCGGCTTGGGGCAGTAGTTCTCCAACCCTCCATGGCAGTTGTCACATTCTCCACATGAACCAATTAGGCAACCAACGCCTACTTTGTCTCCAACTTTGAATTTGTTTACTTTGCACCCGGCTTGAGTCACCACTCCTACAATTTCATGGCTATAATGAGCCGGCAAAAAAAAAAGTCAGCAAGATTATTGCCTCTTTGACTTCCTTAATTCTAATGCAGCATCTTGCCTGTACAATCTCTACTGTTGGCAATTATGGAGCAAGTTATTCTGTGAGTAAAACAAGCTCCCAAATCACCTCGACTAATATTCAGAACAAGCGTATGAATCGGGGACGTACCCGGGAACGATAGGGTAGCTCGTAATCCCGTGTTCGTTCTTAATGATGTGCAGGTCGGAATGGCAAATTCCGCAGTAAAGGATCTTCACGGTAATGTCACGCTCTCCGTTGGCCCTGCGACGATGCAGAACATGTGTTAGCGATAGTCAGGGTCTCCACGCTTGTACCCTGGATTGTGAAAAACTCAGAAATTGAAAGTAGATACAAAACCTTCTGGTGAAAGAGAAAGGAGAAAGGACTCCTGAAGAGCCCCTGGCTGCATAACCAAACGCTCTCTGCACCTGCTCTTCCCCATTCAGCTTCGACGCCTCCATCTTCTCTTTTTCAATTCTCAGACTCAGATTATGTGCTGTCCTAGATTTCTGAATTTGGGTTAATCAATCTCGTCAAAGCTTAGGAGGTTTATATAAGGAAACGGTCCGGTCGGGAAAATTCTCAGCTCATTGTTTTCTGCCTTTTTTTCATTTTCCGTCTGATGTCTGCCAATTGATTATTCTTAACTCTTCTCCAAGAAAGAGGGCGAAAAGTAGATTAAACAGTGGAGTTGATTTTTTTCATTTTTTGTTTTGATCGGGGAGTTTCGGTAAAGTTGATTGAATATTTCAAAAGGGAGGAATCAAAATTTGATTTTGATGCATTTCTTTGGTCGTCATTGTCATGCCATGCAATTTGTGGTTGACTCGTGAAATTCAGATTTCAATCATGTGATGTTCTAAAAATTTAACCCCTTTTAGGATTGATATAACAAGTTCGAGTGCAAAGATTTTTCATTACAAACAGAAAAAACAATATACATCAACTTTTCGACAGAATTTCATGGGTCGTAAAGAAGTTTCAGTGCGTACCCAAATGTTTTAGAATATAATGACCGTTAGTGAAGCACATAGAACCGTGCTCTTGACAGTGGCCTGAAGAGAAAGTGCAAATTTAATATGCTTACATGTGGAAAAACACATGGAGGTATGCACCTCGGCCGCCCGCCATTACAATGTATATGACCTTTTCATTGAAGCTCAAACGGTTCAAAAGTCTTTTCCTCGCCGTCTCACCGGTGAACATTAGCCTCATGCGGAACTCACATTTGGCTATAGTTGCTACGACTCTTGTAAATTGGTGAAAGATTTATAATCGCCATTATACTTGCCATGTCCTATAAGCACATTCGATATGCGAATCAAATCTTCACCATGTCCATTCCCTGAAATAGTGCACCCCTCGACATCGAGGCATGACATGACAAGTCAAGTTACGAGCACGCATCTGAAAAGCGATCATCAGAATAATAGGAGCTTCGTTACCCTTATATCGACAAGTTTCACTGTTGCGTCCCTCAATCAGCTGTCAGCTCTCTCAAACGATGGACACAGAACAAAGAGTTTAAACATAAAGCGGATCACGAAGCCACGGGGTAACCATTCCACGTACACTGATGAAGCAACTGCGGTGGTAATTTGTCTCTGAAAACTTTTCATGAACAGACCACTAACAAACAGGATGCTCTCGCGCAGATCTTGCCATGTTAATTCACCTGCAGAAGAGCACCCGATAAAAGAAAGAAAGGAAATAGATACACCGACTTGAAGACAATCAAAGCATCAATAAGCTTTTCTTCCGCTTTTCTTCTCCAAAAGAAAACACGAACTTGTTTCATGAGGTTATCGTAATTACTGCGACAGCTCGAGGTCTGGTCTACAATCAATTATTTCTCCTTTAGAGTCGTCGGAAAATGCATCGGGATATGTGGCCAAAAGCTTTGCCTTCATACTCCTGGAATTACAAAGAGAAAAAAAAAATCAGATCAGTTCATTAAAATGCAGAACAAGGATCTTTAATTTAACCTCAAGAGGATTCTGGGTATATGAAGCACACAAAAAAGGTCCCAAAATAATGAATCACAAAATCAAAAATGTGCTAAGCAACTAAGATTATGAATGGGATTTCTACAAAATCTTGAGAACAGATTGCCCTCCTGAAGATATTATGTGATTCCATCATAGAAACCTCTTCTCTCTCTTATCAGAAGACAACAGGTTTCATCTTTTTCATTGCAGAAAAGCTGAGTGAAAGAGAACATGTTGACGAACTGCAACCAAATCTATGTGCCATACACAGTAGGAATTCAAGTATACAGGGGCAAGTAGTTGTCGTGGATTGCTGCACGCCACAGATGAAGCTCAATATATGACTATTTATCTAGTTTATCTATTTCATCAATTATCGCTAAAAAATTACTTTCAAAGATAACATTACAAATTTTGGTTGCCCCTTCTATGTTTATACTTCTCATTGTGAAATCTTGCAAATTCTCTTCTTTTCATAATTAATTATGAGAACTGTGAACTTGTGGTCCTTGAGAAATTTTAGAAAAATCAAACAAAGAAATCATGTACCATTATTATGCAAGTCAAACATGGATTTTAAAATGGGAATCCTACTTAAAAGAACCCCATTCCAATGACTGATTCCATTCCATTCTACTCCACTCCCCCCTTCTATTAACATCACCTAAGAGAGAATAATAATGGCTAAAAAGATCCAGGAACTCAATAAAAGTGGAGTATGACCTAGATATCAATATAAGGACATATGCGTATCAGACTATCATGTAACATGAACTTTATTTTCCTTTTCAAGTTTAAGTTTTTTCTTTCAAAACTTTCTAATTTAGTATTGTACTGTAAACAAGACATATCTCAGCTTGCAGATGCTTTTTAGGTCTTCAATCCCTTTTGGAACCTTAAGCACGGACAACACATTATCGTCAATTTCCCAGGTTATCAGCAGATATTTGATCCAGAAACTGCTGAAACCTTTCATTACCCGGTAAAAACCAAGCCTTACCGATGCCTCCCTTCACTGTGGAAGCGCAGACAGACATGTGAACTGGTGCTTCCTTGAAAATTGGGAAGGCAGAACATGCAGGACGCCTAGGCATGGTTAGTTCTTCCCGTCCGAGCATGTATGTTTGTGTTGATCAACTTAAATGACACTAAGTAGAAAATCTAAGCTTTAGTCTTCAGTGTCAATCGGAAGTTAGACCAGAGTAACTTGACCATAACCTAGCAATTCATTTAAAGGCCATGACTAGCAATTTCTAGAAATTATCCCGAAATAGTCTCATGAAATCTACATTCATTACATTTGTCTACGGCAAAGTCAAACAAGTGAGCAAATATAACACAGATATTATAGTAATCACGATGAGGAAGACCAATTTATAGGTTCTTTATGATAAACATGCTTGCTTTGTCATGTGAAGTAATTGAATGTGTTTGAGTAATTGTGAAGTGAGATCTTCATCAATAAATGGGCTACAAGTAATTAAAAGAGAATGGAAACATCAGGAGCGGACATAACTAGGCACAAGAAATTGACTCCCAAGATGAACACTAACAAACGTTTAGTTCCCATGGCCAGGATAAAAAGACATACAATAAAGCAAAGAACCATATTAAATACGCCACGCGTTCCAAATGATTTGGTAAACAGTAATAGCTTGATTGCTGAAGCTGATAGTAGTGAAAAACTCTTGCCATATAGGGAAAGTAGCAAGACGTTCAAACTAAAACTGATTATCATGTGATAAAAGTAAAACTGCTGACACAAATTGCTTAATCTTCAGAAAAGACGACAACCAAATTAGGCATCACATTACATTTTATTTTATTTACGACACAATCAAAACCTAGAAGTCTACCCACATAAAATTCAGGATATGTCAAGCAATATGTACTTCAGCAGTGAATCAAATGACTAATCACCTTATGGTGCTTTTTTTTTTGTTGGAGACCTTTATTATACCCTCAATTCACTGTCAAAGAAATTATAAAATGCAGCATATCATAACTTAGAGTTCAAAAATTCAAGACAACCAATTATTAGCCGGCATGTCACGACAATAAGAATGCAACCAAAGATAATAATAATGTACCTTAGCTTCTGAAAGATGTAGTCAAGGTCCGACTTCATGGACCTCAAGAGACGGGTATTTTTGGAGAAATCACCTGAAACTTCGTTGAAGCAATTCTCAGAATACTCATTAAAATGTGAGAGCACCGCATTGCTGTCCTGTAGCCTTCCCAAACTGCAATTTGAACCACATAACAGGAAACAACCATTACTAGAAGATACTATTACAATCAGCAATCCATCTAGAGCAACCTGGCAGTCCAAAGATGAAATGGTAAGAATTACACCACACGTCATCCCACAGACGAATTTTATCAACATAAGCAATCCATCTAAAGGAATGAATAACCCGTTTAAAGATTAAAAGGGGACAATCATGCCACAAGTCATCCACAGGGAGGAAGACAGTAGCATATGTACTTATGTAGCACATCCACAGAGATATGATTAATCTAAATTGATTATGTGAAACATAACAGACCTAATTTTTTTTAACTATCAATGGATAGAAAAACAGGAAGCGCAGAAATTTCCCACAACCTGCTGAGTAACTGAACAGAATCATTTCATGGAACAAATACATAGTATGTATGTATGTATGTGTGTGTGTATGTATGTACTTACCTATGTACTTATGAAACTATCTCTATTACAGTTAACCTATATGTAACTACATATGTATGTGAATGTCTCCAATTAGATTATTTTCTGGTCTCACAGAGTTATTCAACATTTAAAGCCACTTATTTCCAATTTATCTTAGATGTCCACCCAGAAGATCAGATCCTCTACACTAATCTAAAGATTTCGAACCCAAGCAGCAGAAAGCCTTGCATAATAAGAAATCATCATAACCAAAACATGATCCTACGTAGTACAGACTTGCCCAAGGCTCCAATTTTCATCTTAATTGAGTGAGATGAACAAGTACAACATGAAGTATGACTCCACTTCCAACAGGTTTAGCATTCTTTACACTGAACGGGAACCTCAAGAAGAGAATGTCTAGTTCTCTTCTCATTTCATCTGCTTCTCCTTTTGCACTCTAGCTGGACTATATTTTTTATTACTCAATTCGTTTCATAATATCTTCTGGCCTTGCTAAATGAGAACTAGCCTCCTAGAACTAAAAGACATATCGAAAGCTGTATGGTCGGTCATTCTATCAGGCATTCGGATGATAGTTAAAAGTGTGTTTTCTTTGACCCAAAAAAAACAAACCTTAGTTCACAAAAAATGACCCAAAACAATGCGTTATATCATATCTACTGACACTCAAAATCATCTGACTTTGACCATCCACTTTAAGGATTTGAGCATTTCCTATGAATTAGATAGTTCATTAACTTCTTTTTCCATAACCATCTTATGTTGAATTATCATCCTAGTTTCCTATGAATTAGATAATTGAGGCACTTATTTGTCCACAACCATCTTATGTTATCATCCTTGTTCGCCCAAGGGTGGAAAGTACATGTTTATCATAAAAGCTAAACATTCGAATCAAATCAGAAGCTTTCCCAAAGGAAAAGAAAAAGTATTTTTTATATATTGAAAGTAAAAGATGTATGATTATTTTAACAAATGTAAAAGTTGTTGATGCATTTCTGTAACTATCATCAATTTGTTTCTACTGTGTAATCAGTCGATGTAGATAAACATAGAAGAAAAAAGAGCACATCAAATGTGTAAAGTTTCACTTGATTTGACTTATTCTCCTTTGTCTCTATGCATCTATGACTGGGAATAAAGAAAAATGGCAATTTAAATGAACCTGTGTTAGCTTTCCTATTCATAGGTGAGAATATGATGAGACATACATAAGGGAGAATGCAGGATATTTACCATTCACCTATACAGATAGATCATAGTGAAGAGCACAAGTACAGATATAACTTCCCCTTTCACTGATTAAAAATTTCCTACAGAAAAGAAGCTCTTCCTTTACTGGAAACGAATTATTTTTAGGAAATCCAGAAGTTGGACCTCTTCTGTGTATTCCTCATATTTATTTGTTTTTTGTTGACATTGACCCATGCTAACTTCTTGGCAGAGCTACTTGTGTGGTAAATTTCCTAATTCCTAATGCAACATTCCACTAGGCATCACTTAAGTTCCAGAATTCAACATACACCGCTCCAATTTTATAGTTCCAATTCTGAAAAAGAATAAAATGCAGTATGCCAGCTCCAAAGAAGAAACTACAAGATCCCACTGAGAGAGAGAGAGAGAGAGAGAGAGCACATGAGGTGCTGTATTTGCTTAAGGGAATCAACATCATCTGCATTAATGAGGGTCTTGAACTCTTCAGAAACCTCCACTGATGCCTCTTTTATTGACTCTTTCTCTGATTCTTCCATTGCCAATAGAGTGTAAAAACTTCTACACATTGAGAAAACTTCAAATCAAGGGCATGTAACATGGAACTGCTTACAATTTTTCAATGTCAAGAAAGAAACAGTGACTTGACATTAACAACCAGACCATACAGTTCAGGATATGAGAGAACCACAATCAAGGATCTTCTTCTCATGTATTTTGGTTTTAATAAAGCCCAAATCATCAAACTCAGCAATCAAATATCCTTTTTTACAGGTAAGGTGGGATGGGCAAATAGGAATCGAACAAAGACCTCTACGACCTGAGTGAGTTGGACCACAACAAAACCAATGACAGCCAGGGTGAACAGCTATGATTAATGGTGTTAGAATGAAGGAACCCCAAAAAAATCCTAAGATTGATTAAGCATTTGAGATAAAGTTCTCCTTAGAGAGTCCATTCTATACAAGTTCACACAGTACTCTATCAGCAAAGGCACAAGAAAGTTGCTAACCCTCTATCAGCATATATCGTGGTAAAGAAAACCAGTAAAGGTTCAAAAAGGTAACACGAGATGAATGAGGAAACAAACTTAGCCTTCCCTTTACATACTGCCTATTGGATTATTGGACTATAATCTATTAAGGTGGATCCAGCAATGCGGGAGATGACTCGTTCACAAGTACATGAGATGACAGGACCTGAATACAAAACCTAGAAAGTAAATCCAAATATAGCAAACGCATGAAGAGAGGATCACAAAATGACGCATCCCGTTTCCCTCGGAGAGTCATATGGAAGCATGCAAAGCTAATTATACCGGGGCAATGCTAGTGAATTCCCTAACTTCTTAAGGAAGCCGCTTAAAGAAGAACAAAAGAACTAAAATCACCAGCAACCACCTCGAGGGCTAAAAGCTTCAACTATCTAAAACGCCATAAGCCACCACAAATCAAACCTTCTACCTGGGTGGACGTCAAATTAGAACCTTGCTGAACACACATCACAGCATCAAATCAATTACCCCACTAACAACATCATTCAAACGACTAAGGTACTCCAGTTGTCTGGATCAGGCATATATGATTGCTAACTTGCAGAAACGAAAACACCCATGAAAGAGCATCGACTGATGAGCAGATTACGAGATTCAAAATCAAAAATTTTCCAGCGCCCTACTCATAAAACTAAGCGCAACCCTTTTTACCCCCCGCGCAATCCTTACCCTTGAACCCAAATGCTGTCCGAGGGCAACTCGGCTTCTTCACATCACGCTCCCCGTCATCGCGGGCGTTTCACCTGCACGGAAATGGTTTCCGAGCAGTAGAAACTCGCGAGGATAACAGTTGATCCCGTTTTTACGGCGATTGAATCCGCTCCTCCCAGCAATGACTGAAGCTGGTCACAGAAGAAGAAAAGGAATCGGAAAGGAATGGGATTTGGAGTAATCGAATGGTTTTCTCTCGGAAGAAGGAAAGGAGGAGGAGGAGGAGGAGGAGGAATTGCTGTTCCAAATCCTAACTAACGAGTCTTCCTTTTATGACAAGGGGTGCGGAAAAATGTGTCAATCACTCCGATTAATCTCCATCGAAGCGTACCAATTTAAGATTTTTAGTGATTAAAAAATTAATTTAAGATAAATTTATTACGGGTATATAAATTTAAGATTTTTCGTGGTTAAAAATTAATTTGGGATAAATTTATTACAGACATACAAGTTTGGAGTTTTTCGTGGTATTAATCCTAGATTTTATCGCAAATGAATGTAATTATTTTTGTGTACGTTTCGAGACGAGTATCGTATTAAAAAAATACATAATTATTTTCATGAACGTCGTGAGCAACCAAATGAGGTGAAAATCTCACGTAAGATTCCGTAAAGGGGCAAGAAAGGTCCCCCATGAAATTTTTGTAGTTTGGACTAATAAAACTTGATGCAGAATTTGTCGTACTTAAATCATAGCTGTCACAGGTTGCAAGTATGTGGAGTTTCTTTTGGTATACGGTTTATGTAACTTTTTTTTTTTCAATACAATTCACCTTCACTATCAGTATCATGATATCCAAGTTCGATGTATAAAATTCGTAAAAGGCCAGACATGAGTTATAGCATTGCAGCATAACTCTATACGTATCAGAAATAGTCATTCAACTCATAACTTGAAAACAAATATCAATAGTCCCGTCCAGTAGTATATCTAATGTTTAATTTCAAAACTACTGCAAGAAGGCCTACTAAAGGGGCGTTTGGCAAGTTGCCAAATAGTAAAAATTTATGTCCTTTTGTTTCTAGAATCAGTTTGGAAATAGAAATCCGTTTGTTAAAATTTTTGTGCCTGGGCACAAATTGACAAAAAATTGTTCCCAGAATCAGTTTTGGAACAGAATCAAGAAGCAAAAAAAAGTAGCTTCTTGATTCTGGAACAATTTTTCCATTTTTGATTCTTCTTGATTTTCTTCTTCCTTTTTGATTTGTTGTTCTTTTTCTTCCCAGTCCGCCGCCAGCCTGTCTCCGGCCGGCCAGGGCCGGCCAGGGCAGCTCGTGGCGGCAATAGCGAGGCCTCGCCATGGCCAGGCGAGGCTCGACCTCGCCCAAATCTGGCAAGGCCAACTTCGCCGTCGCCGGGGACCTCGCCAGATCACGGCGAGGCTCGACCTCGCCGTCGCCGGGGGTGGCGACGGCGAGGTCGGCCTTGCCAAATCTGGACGAGGTTGAGCCTTGCCAAGCCATGGCGAGGCCGAGGTCGCCGTCACGAGTTCCCGGGCACAGAATAAAAAAGAATCATTTCTGAGCAGAATTAATTCTCGAGCACAGAATCGTTGTCATGCGCACCCTAAGTTTCCCCCCTTAGTGTAGGTCTCTATCTATAGGCTATATCGGCTCAAGCATCCCAATCAATCCCCACTCGGTGCAACAATCTCCTACTCCCCTCATCCCACACACACGATAATTATCGGATACACATATATGTACTTTTGGGAATGGCCTCGAAAGAATGCACAAACGCGACAATGCAGTAAGCAACAAGACACGCCATAAGTGGACCCGAGCCAAGTTGCACCTATACGAACCTGAACGGATTTAAGAGACCAAGAACCATTTTATAGTTTTATTTGTAAGTTTGTCTTGAGATTAGACCAAGAATCCATTTATTGTTTGCTTTATAAGTTTGTCCGAGTTCGACAATGCGTACGTTTCAGTCTGCAATAGTTTAGGATGAATGCTATGTCCACAGACACTAAAGGTCTCGTGCTATAAGAATTCATGAAAGTATCCTAACTCTCTTCAAGTTTGTATAAGTTTTGAGGAGATTGGAGTAGACATGGCCACGGTTCAGGAACCACCAGTTCCGGTTCGTGGCCATGTATGAACCGGCGGTTCCGGACCGGTTCCGGTTCCGGTTCGTAATTTAAAAATTAATAAAATAAAGGGTTAATACCACGAAAAATCCTAAACTGGTACACTTGTGACACATTTACCCCAAACTATTTTTCTGACCATAAAAAATCCCAAACTGGTACACCTGTGACAATTTTACCCTAAACTATTTTTTTGACCACCAAAAACCCCAAACTGGTACACCTATGACAATTTTACCCTGAACTTACCACAAAAAACCCCAAACTGGTACATATATGACAATTTTACCCTGAATTAAAATTTTAATATTATTTTTTTTATTTTTTTCGATTTTTTATTTTTTTATTTTTTATTTTTTTTTCATCTTCAACCTTTGGCCGATCGCCGGTCCGGCGATCGGCCAGAGGTGGAAGCCGGCAAGGGCCGCCTTCGCCCGATCCAGCGAGGGCGGCCCTCGCCGGCGTCGGGCAAGGGCTGTCCTCGCCCGACTCAGGCGAGGGCGGCCCTCGCCGTCGTCGGCGGCGGCCCTCGCCGCCGTCGGCGAGGGCCGTCCTCGCTTGCTTCGGGCGAGGGCCGCCCTCGCCGGATCCGGCAAGGGCAAGCCTCGCCTGCGTCGAGCAAGGGCCGCCCGACGCAGGCGAGGGTCACCCTCGCCAGATCCGGCGAGGGCGAGCCTCGCCTGCGTCGGGCGAGGGCCGCCCTCGCCGGATCCAGCGAGGGCGACCCTCGCTTGCGTCGAGCGAGGGCCGCCGGACGCCGGCGAGGGTGGCCCACACCGGTTTCCGCCTTCCGGCGACCGGCTAAAGGTTGAAGGCAAAGAAAAAAAAAAGAAAAGAAAAAATTCAAAAAAATTCAAAAAATAAAAAAATAATATTAAAAATTAGTTCGGGGTAAAATTGTCACATGTGTACCAGTTTGGGGTTTTTTGTGGTATGTTCGGGGTAAAATTGTCACAGGTGTACCAGTTCGGGGTTTTTTATGGTCAAAAAAATAGTTTTGGGTAAATGTGTCACAAATGTACCAGTTTAGGGTTTTTCGTGGTATTAACCCTAAAATAAATTATAAAATAAAAATTGCAGGCCTGGTCCTCCGTCAGTCGTCGCTCGGGCTTCACAGCCTTGGCCACGGTGGCGGAGGCGGGGTTCAAGGCGGCGAGGAGATGAAGCAAGAGACGGGGGCGGCGGCGAGGGGGAGAAGGAGGGGGCCGGGAGGGGGACGGGGACGGGGGGGAGGAGGAGCGGGGGGTCCTCCTCCTCCGGGGGCTGGGCGGGGTCAGGGGGAGGGGAGGAGGAGGGGGCATCGGCATCGGCAGCTGCAGCCATGGGCAGCGGCGGCAGCGGCAAGGTTCAAATCTGGGAAGACGAGGGACGAGCGGAGGAGAAAAGGGGAGGAGGCGCAAGGTAGCGAGGGGGGAGGAGGAGGGGGCGTCGGCGTCGGCAGCTGCGGCCATGGGCAAGGGCGACGGCGGCGGGGGTCAAATCTGGGAAGACAGGGGGCGAGCGGAGGAGAAAAGGAGAGTACCGGAGGAGGCGCAAGGGAGAGGGGGGAAGGACGGATTTGGAGGAGGAGGACTGGAGGAGGTGGGCGTGGGTGGGGGTGGGAACGTGGGGCTGCAGCAGCAGTCTTTTTTTTTTTTTTTTTGGAACCGGGCCCGTAGGCCACAGGCCGATTCCGGTTCCGAACCGCGGGCCCGGTCAACGGGCCGGTTCCGGGCCAAAACCGGCCCGTGGCCAAGTCTAGATTGGAGTACACCGCTCTAGAATCGCAATCGCTTCTGCCTTCCAATAATTTGACTTCCAGTCTCTTTGGGAAAAAGAAAGAATAAACATTGATATTCACCCCTCCGGTAAAGGTAACATTTTGCGTAGTGCAACCAAAACCATGAGCACTGCTCGGTACCATATTAGCTTATTGTCCCATTCTCTTTGACAATAAATTTATACAAGGGCTAATGATACATTACCACCACCAACATATCCTAGGATACACCGCCGGAGCATCGTAATGAAACAAGAACAATCCGACTCTCTTTCTACGAACTCAAACTAGGCACATATTCGAGCGCAATGGCCTAATAGAACATCTAGCTCTTGATGCCAGAAGAGGTACGAGCAATAACAGCCTGAAGACCTACTCGAAACTACCATCTATGCAGCAGGTTTCCCTTAGAACTACAAGCAGATTCACACTACCAACTAGAGAGACTGACCTACAAGCAGAAGAGCAGGGTGCTTAGTGAGTCTAGGCTAGGTATGGGAAATCTATTGATAAACAGGTATGATTCATGCACGAAAGAGATTACTCTGCAGAGATCGGGAAGTTGCTTCTCAGGATGAGCGATCGCTTCTATCAGAGTTGAGATTGATATTTGCCTGTGATTTGTCAGCGGAAGAAACCTCGCTCTGCTGATTTTCATCCTTCTTTGAGTTCAGGAACCGCCCGCCACATCCTCTAGCTCTTCTCAACGCATGCAAATGTCGAGATTCATGCAAGTACGGCTGCAAAGTTCGTTACACATGAGACATGTCAGAGACACAGAAGAAAACATGGAGAATCACATAGTGAACTTGTCCAAAGCAATACAGTAATTGTGACACAACAGGGAGATGCTTAAACAGTGAAAATAGCACATTATAAGATGACTGAGTAACCAAGATGGACTTGTTATATTGAGGAAATGCCAATAAAATATTTTATAACTCAAGAATAATCAGCTCAACAATGCTTTCGCCTAAGCATGAGTAATCAAATGAAATGAAGCGGCTCGAATGGTCATCGCTCATGTTGACTTTGTAAGCACAGGATAATAAAATTCACTTATCAAGATGTCCTTTAAGTGACAATTTGTTTCTGCTATCCTTTTTTTATTCTAGAAGACTGAATCACTCTAAACCTAGTTACTTTTAAGATTCTAAGATACACAACAACAGAGAGGCAAGATATATGCAAGTTTCCTAGAAATCATACTCATTGGATCAACAGGACGTGGATGAGATAAAGCAATCTTCAAGAGTTAAAGAGTAAAGATCCAACCACTCATACAGATCCTAAAAGAGTGATCTCATCGAAAATCCATTTTGCATTTCTCGAACCAATAATGCCGGTCTATATTTTCGTATGACCTCCGAGACAAAATGAGTTCTCTTCCTGGTGAGGGGTGTCCATGTTAGTCAAACATATGTTGCTGGACGAAGCCCAGGAAAGGGGGACTGACCGAGTTGTGTTCCTATGTATCTCACACTATTATAAAGCACTGCTAAAACACAAGCAACTAGACACAAATTCGGGAGATATTGCAAGTAGTCCAAGACACCAAACTATTATGACAAAGGATCCAACAAGCTCTTTTATGACTTAGAATTTCGAAAATAATCAATCATCCAGTCTCCATAACATGGAATCAGTTTTTGTTGACACCCAGCAGAGGGTAGCAAGAATTCTACAAAAGTTTCCTCCTTCCTATATTATCTGCTGGGGAGCTTACAAAACAGTCTGGAAAAAAAATTTCATCCTCTTCTCAAATAAAACGCTTTCCTTCAGTAATTTCTGCACTTTCTAAAGAAATATAATAAGAATAAATCACTAACTTCTGATTAATCATAGGCTCTTATTTTAACTTGAAGTCCTAATGTCATACACTTACGAGCACACTAACAAAGCCTTGAGTTGCAGCAACTCAAGGCACATGTCTCATCAAACAATGACAGAATTTCTGGCATAAATTTGTTCCTTCCTTTCTGGCAAGACACGAAACCAGCACAAGAAAAAGAGAACATGTAAGATCAAAATGAGGTATCACAATCCATCTACTTACACAATATCTTGAAGATTCTCCTTCACATACCTAAGCTACAAAAAATTTGTGGCACTAATTCCTATAATATTTGATATTTTAACCCTTTCATATCTGTCACCCTATCAGAACAACATTCCTAGCTTAATACCTGAATTGCAACATACCTTTCGTGATTTAAGAGCTTTGTTCTCTAACTCAGCTTTTGCACGAGACTGTCGACGCCGCATGATGCCGTGATATTGTTTTGCATTGACAAATACAGGTTCTTCAACTGCATCTGATGGCAAAGGCACTCCAGCTTGTTGAATTCCCATTAATTGCAGATGGACCTGTGCAACAATTTTTGGATGATCGAAACGTTCAAATGCATGAGAAATCAAAGTTCCTCACATCACAGAATATGCCGCTTCATACAATAAAGAACAATTCCAGCAATTTGATATTCAAAAGCATTATACCATAGGCTGCGCACCATAGGGCTGCTGTGGGTACGACTGCGCATCATAGGGAGCAAAGATGCTTCGATAATAAGGGTCTGGATATGGGTAAGCAGGTGGTGTCTGCAAAGAAATGAGCCAAAAATGGAAGTTGGTGTCAGACTCGAAGTCCATAAGTAAAAACTACTCCTAAGCCTTTTCACATCTAGCAATACCAGACCATGATATAAGCAGTATGCTAAAGTAAGACACAATATAAGAACCATTCTTAAATCAACCCCAAATAACATGAAATATCAATATAGGTACTAAACATTAATAACGGGGACATAGTTACCCATCTGGAAACAATTTTAAGGGAGAAAGTCTCATTCGCAATTCACTCACCCTCTGAGATGTCCACAGAGAGAGGGAGAAACTTAACCAAAAAATTAATCAGACATAAAAGGTGGCCAAGATGGCAAATACGATTTTAATCATGATATTAGTTAAAGAAAGGACAATCATTGGCAAACCCATGGCTTGCCCACCCATAACTGTGGGAAAACTGAGTAAGGGCTCTGATAATCATCCCCTTCACCCCTTTCTGTCCACTACAGAGAGAGCTATTAAGGACAGAGCTAGAGTTCTCCAGTGCAGAGGATTGACAGTATCTTTTTTGCATACAGTGGTCATAACAGCAATTTAGAATGATTTAGCTGACTTCACAGATTAGTTGTCTGCTAAATAACATTGTAAACAAGTTACTTACCCACTTGATGATTTGTCCAGGAGCTATACAATTATAATAGATAGGGTTCAAGGCAGAATTTACAGACAATATCAAAATTGTCTCAAGAAATGAAAACTCTACAAACCTAAGGATGCTAATGATTAACCATTCAATGCATCAGAAATCCCTTGTACCTAAGCCATTTAACCATAATCACCTGCAAGAACTTCATTAGTCCTTTGACACAGTAAAACACTTGATCTAAAAAGTCTTTCTGCTACAGCAAAAGACTTGCGAAAGAACAGAGTCAATAATTCGTCTGTGTCAAGAGTATAAATTTCTATCGGCTAGAGTATTTTACTTCTTAATACACATATCATGACTCAACGCCACAATAACTACATCTCTATGGTTATAAAAGTGAAATTACTGTCATCAATATTATTGAAAGAAAAGCAAGCACTTGACTTTGTAATATTATATTTCAGTCATCAATCAAATTACTCATTCAGTTATATTATTCAACCCTTTAAAGATTACTACCAAAAGCAATTTCCATCGAAAGAACAGCAAACTCAGTGGCATAAGAAGCAACCAGCATAAGATGAAAGTAAACAGCTTCCCGTGTGAAATCATGCGATGCATCAAACCAAATAAAAGTAACTCAATCTGGACAACTAGACTAAATACATCCCCTGAGAAAAAGGCAACCTATGTTTGTATGACATGACGCCATCTCATTATCCAGCAAAAAAACTGCCAACCCAGGGTTTATATCAATTAGTGGTTCACATCCTGTGCAGTTGAGACTATTACACGATACTGCATTTGTAAGATTCGATAGGTCTTTGTTTCTTCCATCATTTACCTAAGGCAACACAACCATAGGAAGGATAAGTAAAATGAAAGACGAAAGTTCTGACTCTTTCCTCAACAAGACAACATTATAAAAATAAATTGACCAAAGTAGACATTAATTGACATTATAGAGGCAACAAGAACATAATACCATGGCATGTACCGCTCCAAGTTGTGGAGGTGTTGCATATTGGACATTGGGCAAAGTGACACTAGGATGAGGCACTCCAGTTGCAGGGGAGGACTCATGCTGGTCTGAAAGTTTCTGCTGTTCATCAGCTTCCCCATTTTCTGTATATGTTTTGTATTGAGGAACCAAAAGAAGTCAGATAAGTATAAAAGACATAAAGAACTTGACGCGTAATGAGCACAGATGACAAAACTAGGGCTATATCGCAAAGAAGATTGTTTTCCCATAGCTGTAGGCACCAACACAAACAATTCCTCGAGAGATGTCAATACTAACCAGATTCCATCAGGAACCATTATGAAAATCCCAATACAAAAGGAAAAGCTTCGCATTCTCCAAATTTAAAGCCTAGTAAAATGGAGTCTACGAAAGGAAGGTTTTGTTCTTACAACCCATGGGGTTGGCTTAGTAACGAAGGAACTAACTTTAGAGTGTGAATAAGGCGTACAACACAAATTTGATTCCCCATACCACCCAGTATAAACCATTCCATATTGGGACCAACCTCCATGGGCCTTGGCTTGCATCTTAATAGGTCTACGAGGTTCCTGGGGCACTTCATGAACCCAAGGTTTACCAACCTAAGGTCTACTTCCTTACCATTAAAAGGAAAGTTTCTTTTCTTACAAAGGCATTCATTGAAGTACCAAGGTGACTGAAAGAACAATATGCCATGAGTCAGGTCATAGCAAAGACATCATTGTTCTAACAGACATTCATAGCAACTCCCTCTTTGTTGTGTCAGGTCACCCCACCATCATTACCTCAACTAATAACCTAGAGTATGCATAAGATGGTACAGGTACAAATCGTAAGTATGTTTAAAACGAAGGACAAATAGCAAGAACTCATCTGATGAAAGGTCCCTGTCTTAAAAAAATAATGATAAAAGGACTTTAAGCACTCATGCAATGACTCCACAACCAACTCAGGCATTGATGAGTCAAAGAGATAAGCCAGTTGATACTATGAGACAGAAAAATCTACCAACACCGACAATTTGTTATATCAACATCAGAAATCCAAATCAAAAGCAAATAGACAACACCAGCAATCATTTAGCAGAATACAAAACATAATCTCCAAAGGAAAATATCAAAAACGCCAAAATGACACATACGTATTGATCAAATGTACCTGAGATGTCATGCACAGAGGAAGTCATCAGGGATGATACAGGTAAGTTCCAAACCCAATGTCTGAGGGCATAAAAAATAAAACACAGACATAAGATAATTATGCAACTCAATCAACAAGCAAACCAACTTACATGACTATTGATCCATCATAATTATAAACGTAGAAGTTCATTGCAATTCTAGTTAATGGCTTAAAAAAACAGCAATTTGATTCCACAGAAATTCCAGCCTCACTGACAAGTGACAACAGTCTCCGCACATCATAACCACATTGTACTCAGTTGAGGATACAGCATATATCATACACCAACAATTCTAAAAAGATAAGCAGGGCGAAAGAACGTCGTCCAATTTCTTGTCAAAACACTTATGCCCCACCAAGAAAATATCATCATATGTATCCCAAAAAGAAAAAGGAAATTATCAGCATGATTGGAAAGAACCCTAAAGCACCATACCTTACAGCAACAAATCGTACCAAAATAACATTCGTTCGGGACTAAAAGACTATCTAGCTTGCACTCGGAGGCCTTACCATATTGTCAAAGAACATGATTCACACCCGCACCATAGACGGCACCTTTGTCAAAACCATCTCTAAGTCGAACCCCGTGAGGGCTTTAACAGATTTGGTAGGTAGGCACGAATAATCCTCTTGCCACATGGTGCTTATACTTCAATGTGACTCTCCCAAAGCTCTACCAAAGGCAACCTGATTTCTCGCAATTTTTGGAATAACTCATTTGCATGCTAGAGTCACACTAACCTAATCTAGGCTAGTTAGGAGCCGAGTAGTGCGCAGGATTTTGCTTTACCTCAGTGAACCAAATATTGGATACAAGGACTTGGTTATGCTACATTAAGCCAACACTTGTTACGGGTATTACTATTTTAAAGAGATCTTTTCGTGAAATCTTGTTTATGCAACTCCAGATGACCATACATCAAAGGTCACTAATAAAAAGTAATGCAATTACAAAAAATGACTACCATAACCTAGCAATATGCAAATAGACGAAAACTCTAAAATGAACAACAAAATATTCAACTTTAATGACCCAAAATTTAGACTCAAACAAGTACACATGGACCCTCGTCACCTAGTAACAAGTCCAGGCCTAATTAAGCTCAAAACTCCCCTTGAATCATGCAATTAGGCAAAACTAAATCCAAACAGCAAACACCCACCATCAGGCTAACATCACCTTATGACAAGATTCGCGACTCAGATTGTAATTAAAAAATGAGATCGCGTCCTAACCTTAATTGGTGAGCTAGCATTAAAAATGGCATCACTTTCTCTCCTTATCAAAAATTTCCAGAATCCTAATCAAGAATAATCCCCTCAACTCCAAACACCAACTAAATTTGATCAATATCAATTGGACTAAGCATGCATTACTTCACGTGATTGAGACTACGATCAAGAAGGGCACACGCCAAATGTAAAGATCAATCATTTCCATACTCCAATTCAAGAAAATCGTTTCAAAACCCGAGCTCCACTTTACCTGATCGTGACAAAAAAAAAGAGCTCAAAAGCCGCGGCGTCAGGCGACGGGGGCGAAGAGCAACGGTCACTCGGCTACAGTCCGGTAAAGCTCTCGGCAATTCGGCGCGGCCACCCAGCGACGGCTCGGGACAACTCCTCGCGGCAACGAGCCAAAGCAGATTGGGCGAAAGACCAGCGGCGGCGGCGGCGGCTCCGGCTCCGCGAGAGGGGCAGAGCGTTGGTCCCGGGCAGAAGAAACGGCCGGCGAGCCCCGGCCCGCTCGGATCGGGAATCGGCGGGGACGCGGGGGGAAGCCGGGCCAACGATCGGCGGCCGGGCGAAGATCAGGGGAGCCGAACCCGGACCGCCCAAGGCGGCGGCGGCGGCGGATGCGGCGGCGGCGGAGGGTAGTGGCTGGCGGGTGATGGGTTTGCGCGGGGTGCAGCGGAATTGGCTGGAGAGGGGAGGGAGTGGGGGGTCTGGCGATGGCGTTGTGTGGATGGAGTGAAGGGATGCGGGGTAGGAGAAAGGAGACAAAACACACCAAAAAACGAGAAGAGAAGAGAGAGAGAGAGAGAGAGAGAAGGGAGAAGCGAATTTTCTCGAACGTTTTTTTTTTTTGGGAGAATATTAGGTTTATTTTCCTTTTTAGGGCATCGCCCATATACTTTAGTGCCCCCAAAAAAAAAAAACATTTGGACGGATCACTTCGGTACAAAACAACGATGGTGCCGTCGTTCGATTTGGGATGTCGAAAGTCCGATGTGGCGTTTTTTTTCTTCCCGATAGACGTGGCGATGTGTTGAGTATAAAATGCCGTAAACTGACGTCTCCACGCACGTTTGGCCGGCCGAATTTAAGAGAAATGGAGATGAATCGGGCCGTTTGTCACATTTTCTTCGCAGTCCTAATTCAAGCCGAGGCATTTTGGGGGGCACGATTAAAGACCCCTGGATCTTGCGATGAATTGCAAGAATAGCGGGAGCTGGACAAGCGGCTCGAGCTCATGTCGATAAAGCCAAGAGGAAGGCGAATATATACTGTTACCATGGGCTCGGAAGTCCAAGAAGAACAGTATGGACAATGTTGAATCCCGAAAGAAGGTTTTAATGGATGCGCCAAGTATAGAAAAAGCTCGAAATGTGAATATTTCAAATGCGTAGATAAAAAATTTTCGGGTCGAGCAACAGAGGTGACCTTCCCCACTGGATAGATGAGTTGAACGATACTGACCCCATGCAAGTAGAAATGAAGGTTTTGGAATCTCTAGCCAACCTAAGATGAAAAGTGAGAAAAAAAGAAAAAAGTTTTATCGAGTGTTGCTTGTGTTGCTATTGTTTGATCTGGCTTATTTTATGTTCAAATGTAAACTAAGCGGTGAGAAGAAGCTTCTCGGTATACCATAATTAAAGATCACAAGAATGTGCTGTTGTATTGGGGGCACTATAAGCTAGTTTTAGCGCCTCGTTTTTATTGGAAATGTTGTTCTGTTTCTCAAATGTAAAGTAAATTTGGCTAACCAAATAAGTTTTAACTAGTTATTCTTCATATAATTGTAGTGTGTGTTAGCTGCTATCCTGTGGTATGATCATTTTCTGTAATTGTTGGCTAAGTAGCACCGACATCGATATACGATGTGACATGCCGACACGTCATTTCTCAAAAAATAGATAATTCCGATACGTTGAGACACGTTACATATTAAATATATATTTTTCTATATACATGATAAATTATCATTTTTTAAATTTAATCTAAATTCATAAATATATAAATAATAATAAAAAAGAGCTTAGAATGAATTTTCACTAAAAATATTAATTCATCATTTGTTGATAAAAAAAATCAAACTAATAAATAAGACTAGAAATCTTGAAAAAAAGAGAAAAGACAGGGAAAAGGGGCGAAAATTAAGAGCAATTAATGACCCATCACTTCATAGACAGGAACATCCCTATTTCAACCTCCCTCCTCTCACCTAACCCTCATTCGAATTTACTACTTTTTCTACACCAAAAAAAAAAAAAACAAAGCATAAAACGAGAGTAGCGAGAGGAGAAACGCTCGAGTTGATCGAGGACGCCGGAGAAATGAGAGGCCGCGAAGGAGATATAGACAGCGTGGAGGGCGTCATCCTCAGCACTGGAAAAGTGGTAGGCTACGAAATAGGTGACGGCATGGAGGGCGTCGTCCTCGGTGGTGCCGGAGAAGGGGGGAGGCGAAGGATTTGACTGCGTGGAGGGCGTCCCCACCTTGAGAGTGTAGCCTCTCATCTTGAACTTCTTCTGCACTTTCTTCTTCACCGCCACGCTCATATCTCTCTCTCTCTCTCTCTCTCTCAGTGACGAATGGACTCACGTGTCGCTGGCATGTCCGGCACGTCGATCACGTATCGATGTCTAACACGTGTTGACCGCGTGTCGAAGCGTGTCAAACATGTGTCACGCGACCAACAACAACACGGCAGCCCCCAGGGCGTGTGTCAGTGCTATTTAGATTGTTGGTTAACTGTTATGTTCAAGAATTATTGGGCAAGCAAGCAAGCAAGCAAGCGTCGTCCACTGGTTTTTTTTTATTTGGTCGGATGTGTATGGGCTTGAATGGCCTCTTATGTGGTCAATTTGCTAGATAGTGTCTGTCCATTAACTCTTTGTTCTGCAATATCTACTCAATAGTTATTTAAGAATCGATGGTCGAGCTTACAAATGGCTAATTTTGGCTACTCTGTGCATGGGATTGAATAACAATGGGTGTGTCACAAGTTCACGAGTGATCGATTGATTATCATTTTTTGTCAAAAGTGATTATTTATGGTTTTCAACTTTTTAAAAAAGTGATACGTTTGATTTCATTTTCTTAAACACATCCACTACCAGTTTACAAAGAAACATGATTGGACCACTTGGTTGGCAACACACGTTGTGTACAAACTTATAAACACATACAAAGAGCAATTATTCCATCAACCATGCCTTAGATTCAAACCAAACAGCATTGCATTCAGAATAAGGATGTTCTTACATCAACATAAAGTGAACATATACTAATAAATACATCACTTGCAGTAGTACCAGCCAAAATCAAGTCAAAAATATAATAAAATCCCAACCAAGAAAATTACATGCAACAACACCAACTAAAAACAAGTCAAAAACAACAAAATTATTCGTAGCACCCTCCCATCAGTCAATCTCAACAATCTCCCCACTTCCTTTTCTTTTTTATTGACTCTTGGTTTGATTTATAATACTTGCTCTCTCTAACAAGAACTGGGGTTGCAAGTTCACTCTTGATTGGTTTTATGGTCCCATATATGTTCTTCTTTGCATCATCCATTCTTTTTCTAGGAGATCGATACTGGGTGGTCATTTGAGAGGAGCTTTCTATAATTGATATTCCCTTTTAGCACTGGTGTTTGGCTCATTGTTGGTGATTTTTTGAGATAAAACTGGTGTTAGGGTCTTTCTTGGTGGTTGTTTTGGAGTTAGACCTTGTGTCATCTTCTTTGGAGCACCCTATGTCCTCTGCTTTGGAGCAGCATTTGATTGTTTTTTAACGGATTGTGCTCAAGTTGCCCTTGGTTGGTTTGTTTGAGCTTGCCCTTGGGTTCTTCGTTTAAGTGCAGCCCCTGATTCCTGACTTGAATACCCTTGAGAGATCAGCACCTTTGAACTTCTTCCAGGTTATCAACCATATTGCCATGAAAATTTAAATGCCATAAATTAAATGCATAAGACTTAAAAAACTTACATTCAAAATAGTTATGTTAGTATTAAAGTCTGTAAACACCCTATAACCATATTCTTAGCCTTTTGCCAATAACTTCTTTTGTTTGTTGTGGTGCAAAACTTTTAGAAACCTCTTCAGTTGGTATTTTTTTAACTTGAGAAAGGCATAACAAACTTAAACTTTAGCCAAAAAAAAAAATGGACATACCACAACACCAACACAAATTGTACAACTTATTCGACATTTTCTACTAGTCTGTGCAACAATAAACTTAGCAGTTAGCCCTATAGCTAGCTCAACACGTGGCTTCATATGGCCCTACATTAGGACCTACAGTTGACCATGCCCTACAGCTGGTCTTGGATTTGGCCTTGCAATTGGCTTTTCTATTAGTGGTCTGTCTTAGGAATCAATCAAGGTTGATACTCTAATATTAGTTGTGGATTAGGTTGTGTCGGAAAATCGACATTCACTATACTTAGGTAGTCATAATGTCTTACTAGAGACCGCTTATGACTTGTGGGCCAAAAAGGGTTTTGAACACACTGCTAATGTTTAGTAAACCTACAGAGTCACACACAATATCGAACTAAGTTAATATTTTCTGTGCGCCGGGATCTACTTAAAATAAGAAGTAGATTTTAATTTATTCTCCTATTCAACTTATCTAAGCGGTCGTGCACGTTATGAGATAACGATTAAACGTACGATTGAAGGTGGACAATTTGGCGGGCCCAAATCGCCCGGCCGCACTTCTTTTAATTCGCGTAGATAATGAGGCTATATATATATATATATAGCGTGTGGGTGACAAAAAACCCTAAGAGAGAAAAAAACGCCTTCAAAAGAATACGAAGATAATCGTTCTCTATTCATGGATCTTTGAGACAGTCTCGAAAATCAAAGGCGATCAGGAAAAAAAAGTCTAAGATCTTTAGCTAGCACTTGGATCGTTGGAGACTTCCGTTCGTGTGTAAGGATACCGGTAGAGGAGCAACACTTGCGGTGCTAATCCAGACACAATCGATTGTCAATTTACCTTCGATCTGCAAAAAGGTACGTGTCAAACTTCTGTTTAGATTTCAATATACGCATGGATCCTGTCTAGGGTTTCGGTTTATAAATTCCGCTACGTTTTTAGCACTTGAGGAACCCTAAATTTTCATCATTACCTTTTGTTATCCCTTGTTGTTTCTGCTTCTTCAATTGACATCCAATCTTAATGTGCCCTTCCTTATGGCAGTGTAAGCACTTAATTTTTCTACCAACCCTACTCATCCTCTTACTTGTCATCTCAAAGTCCTGCACTCTCCTTTTCCTTTCTAGCATGCCTACTTGCTTCTTTAGTGGTAAAAGGGTGAGAGGCTTCAGGCTTTGTTGAGTCTCAAAATTGTTACTTATGATAGCTGCATCATGAATTAGTACGAAGCAAGATATTTGCTTCTCTTGTATAAGTCTTCTAAGTAATCCTCAAGATTTAGTTGCTCTAGCTAGATAGTATTTGTAATCTAGTTACTTGTTAGGCTCAACATGAACACTTTCTCCTCTCTAGTTGGATAATATACTTATCACCAATGTTCATGATCTCA